AGGAACAAGAAAGAAAACCTTTGGTATGCAGTGGAAGAAAACGAAACATTAATTTAAAGGGAGAATGACCAAGAAGAAAATTTGGAAACTCACCCCCAAAATACATGAAATTCACTCACCCCAGTGAGTGCAGGCACTGCACAGACAAGTGTGTTTCATTTTTCTGTGAGTGCTTGCTGGCCCCCAGGACGAGGGGAGATGGAGAAGCCCACAGAGGATGTGCACAGCCCCTCTCCTGGCTGTAGCTGCTGCTGCCTGCCAGGCAGCATCAGAGCCCTCGGATGTTTTAGACCACGTGTGCTGCAATAAATAGGCCAGAACTGGGTCTAGGACACTCAGTGCTGAAAGTGCAGTGAGAATTAAGCAGGGATTAATTTGAAATCCAATAGCTGCCGCTTTAATGGACTCACTGGCACCCAGTGCTTCTGATGTGTTATTTTTGTGTAGTTGCACAGGGATATTTTACACTCCTGCTACAAATACACACCGTCTTCCTCAGGTGGGGAGAACATCCCCTGCAACAAGGATGATGTGCACATTCATTTCTAAGCATTTGCACCCTTTCTTAAAGCCCTCTTTGGAAAAAGGTACTGGAGGACTGGAGGAGATAGAAGAATTTGTGTATCTCTGTTTCATTTGGTAATTACTTAATTCCTGTCTGCTTGCTCGGCTTTCTGGGCTGCAACTATTCAGATGTGGATTGTGAGTTTAACCCAAAGCTTTCAGTACCAATATTTTTGGGCTTATTGAGAACATTAAGATAGAGTTCTGTTGGAAGACTGTTGGATATTATAATCCGACAGTCTTCTGAATTTATCCTTGTAGATAAGTTTTAGACAGTGTTGTCCACGTGAAATGTTAATATGTGATGTTTTAAGTCTTATTTCTGTTGTGATATAACATTTTAAAATTAAACCATTCTTCCTCTAATTAACACTTCAGCTTTTTAAAATTATTTTTTTCATAAAGCACATTTTAATTGGAGTAACATGTATTGCATGTTTTATGAAACACCTTCATTGAAAGTCTTGGATACTTTCCATTCAGGTCCCTATAGACCCATCCAGTTTGAAAATACACTGTTTTATCCTCTCCTTAATTACAGTACTTGGAGCAACTCTCTGTTAACTGTTTTTAGGTTTCACAGGATAATGAGTCTACCAGAACTAGAGAGTGTACAGCAAAAAACTGTTCACAGGAGGAAGCTTGCTGTTGCTTAGCTACCTGTCTTTTTAATTTGGAATCTCCAGCAATTCCATAATGACTAGTCCTTAAGCTGCTAAATGTATTTTTTCATGACAGATTGTACATTCTGAATGTGCATTTCACCTATGCATTACTGCCCTTACTGTGGGAATAACGAGGGTGTTTGGAATGGGATTGTGTTGTGTGAATCACAATACCTAAAAATGTCGGTTACAGAGGCAGTTCCTACTGGTGGGTACCACAATGAAATTCAGAATAACTTGAGTGAAAAGTTGTCTCTGCTCCTCCAGAGCAGTCCCAAATATGAACAAGTTTTGTGTCATCTGTAGGTAGTGCAACCAGTCTGTAGTACACATTCTCACATCAATTTGAAACATAATAGTGATAGGTAATAAATTGCAGATCAAAATACAATGACACTTAACATGGTTTTGGTCCATTTAGCATTTTCTTGCAAGTGAGAAAATGGCCTGACGTGTAAAAATTGCCTGAATGTCACCGAAGTCTGCTGAAATAAGACTCTGAACTAGGCAATAGTCATAGGAGAACTACTTTTTTTTTTGGAATCTGTGAAAAAATTTACTTACATTAATGCTATCTGGTCAGTCCTAAAATTGATATAAAGAGATAGTTTGTCTTGGCTTGTGGCCACATAACTGGTATAAGCATAGAAAGAAATTCTGGCTTTTCTAAACCCTTTTCCAGTATGTGGGTCTAAAAAGGATTTTCATTTGATGTTAAAGTGAATTCTTTCTTACTATAATAGTCTTTCCCATTAGGAGAAATGTCTGTGACTCTTCCCCTTTTGCCTACACAAAACAGCTACAGCAGCTTCTGCAGCAGTATGGGTGAGGTACTTGTGTGTTTCTGGGAGGGCATCCTGTCCCCATCCCATCCCATCCCATCCCAGTGCCCCGGTGCTGCCAGGGAAGGAGTTGTTGGCTCTGTGCTGGCAGGGGCACAGCTGGAAGGGCCCTGCCAGCCCGTGTGACAAGCACAGCTGGCTGGCACAGGTCATGGGAGCAGTGGCTCCATGTCCTGTGCAGATGGGCCCACGCACAGCTGCCAAAAGCAGCTTTTTGTAAAGGAACTCCAGCACTCTGCTGCTGAGCTGATGCGCCCACCTAGGCAGAGTTTTGTTATTGATGCTTTCTGTGTTGTATTTGTTAGGATTTTAGAAAGATGAACTTGTTAGTTTGACAACTAATTATATTTTTAATTTAGTGGTGAACTCTCTTGGGAATCTATGATCAAGTTAATTTAAATGAAATGAGGTATTTCAGCTCTTGCAGGTATACTTTGTGGATTTAAATGTGAATCTGTGTAATCCCATTTTAGATATTCATAAGGTTTTGATGTCCTCATGGAAAATACTGGCCTATTTCAGTATGATTTTGTGCTCAATTAACCATTTAGAGATATTGACTTACACAACAGAGTTGAATATTTTTGCCCTTTTATTGTGGTGTAATATTTATGTGTATATTTCAGTTTCTGGGTCTGTAAATCTTTCTTATTAGGATAATTTATTTTTAAGATTACTGAGTATGTAGCTCTTATACAGCCTCATATAATTTTCGTCATGCCTTCATGGTTTTAATCCTTTACATTTTAACATTGCATCCCCTGACTTTAAACTGACTATATACGTGTCCTTGATTTCCCAGTGCAGAGCCACTGCTGCACTGGCTTCTCTTCCCTTGCACAATTCCATGGAGACTTCAGTACAAGACATGACAAAATGTAAAACCATACTCATAGATCACCTTATAAATATTTATTCATATAAATTCTTTAAAGAAATTAAATTACGTGTTCTATACAAAATAGGAAAGAGAGGCTTTTAGTGTCACTGGCTGCAAATTGAAGTCATTTGTCTTGAAGGGTCAGGTGCCACTTTGTGGTAAGATACTTGTCTGAGATCCAAGAAGGGTAAGATTGATAGTACAAAGAGATTGATGGAACAGGCACTGCAATATGCATACGAAGTTACAGGTTAATTAGGAAGATTTAAACAAGAAAGTCCCTTTGTGTGGAGAAGTGTCATGTGCTGTTACTCTAAGAAGCAAGGTGTGCTGGCAGCCTTTTGAACAGGCAGAGTTGATTTTCAGGGATGTTTATGTGGAGATGTGCAGTTGTGAGTATCAGCGAGGTGGCAGATCACCAACAGCACCCGCTGCAGCTGACGGGTGCTGCTCAGGGAGTTCAGTGCTTTGCATACAGAGCCACCTGCTCTGCTCACATCTTTGGTTTTGTTGTGGTTGATGTGAATTATAATGCTGGTTTTGTGATTCCTGTATCAGAGTAAAATCATTAATATTTCAGACTGCCAAGTTCTTTGGGTGTCTCAGGTGATACGACTATTTGTTCTACTTTTTAATTGCAGGCACAGCAGAAATTGCAGCACTTACAGAAAAATCCTTAAGCTAAGAATGTGTGGTTTATAAAGTGGTAGCTGAGCAGTCAACAAACATTGTTTTTAAGTTGATAGGAAAGCTGTTTTGAAAGAACAGACACTGCAAACTGTTCCTTCTTTCATTAAAGTTCACCAGCCTCCCTGGTACATTTAGCAGAGAACAGCAAGCTTCTCTGTGTGGATTGATGCTGAAATTAAAACAGCAACATCTTTTGTAATAGTTATTCACTTGGCAGAAAGAGAATTTTAAATTTGACTTAAATGCAACAAAATCAAAATGGTCTGTACCCCTTGTGTCTCATTCTGCACAAGGACAAAATGGTGCAAATCTTTCAGCAAGGCAGGAATAAAAATCTCAGCAAGCGCTTCAGTATTTATTATCATAATAGTAAATCATCCCTGTCTGCCTGGGAGATGTGTAAAACATACCTGCTGAGGGCAAGAGCAGGCACAGGCCTGAGGGACTGTTATACTTCTAAATACTATAATTCTATATTTTTGTCATGATAGTCTTAACTAAAATTTGCATTCATATAGTCACCTTATTTTTAGCCCCATAGAGAGATCTTGGGGTACATGGCAGCTCTTACTTCCTACAATCCATTTCTCTATTCTCTGACTGTGGAGTATCTGAATTTTTGGTTTAGTAAGGGAAGGAAGAAGACAGGCAAGTTTTACCTTGTCTAGCTGCTATGTGTGAGACAGAAAAGGCCTTCAATTGCAGGCTGCGTATGGCTTTTTACTGAAGATGAAAAATTTGTTGAAGGGGGGCAAAAGTTTGAATTGCACAATACATTTCTACATTAGGGAAAGACAGACTCAATGAGGCCCCTGGGAAATGTGATTGACATTGAAAACAATCCTCTTTTGTTTTATGATATTGCTGTAATGATGAGTCTTCGCTTTTTATGTGGTCAGATATCTATTTATTCACATAATTCTGAGTACAAAAGCAGCTGTAGAAAACAGGTAGTGGAAAAACAACACTCTCTTTTCTCTTTCACATTTTCACTTGTAGGAGCTGTTTTTCATACTTAAAGAATTCTTCTCTTGTATTAACATGAGACCAAATACAAGAAAATCTGTCGAAACAAATGAGTTGGAACATGTCCCACGATACCAATACACACAGGCAAAGTGCTGTCTGAGGCACAGTTCCAGTGGCCTTTTTGTGGTACTTACCCTCTCTGCTTGAGTGGCAACTTGCCTCCCATTACCCTCCCCATCAATCACAAAGATGCTTCTACTTCAGGAAGAAATACAGCTTATTTTGTTCTACTGCAAGGATTATATTTTTGCAGTTGATAAACACAGTGAACTTCTTATTGTAAGAACTAAGTACAAATATTTTTTTTCTTTTTTTTTTCTTTTTTTCCAGAAACCAAAACAAAAGGACTGGCATCCTCCTGGAGGATTTATTTTAGGACTGTGGGCATTGATCATCATGGTTTTCTTCAAAACATATGGAATCAAGCACATGAAACATGTCTTCTGAACTGGAGCAAACAAGATACTTGCATTGGCTGCTGCTTTGGGTTCATGGGTAGCTCCTGTGTTATCTGAATGTGGATTATGGTTGTGTTCAAACACTGTGTTGACATCTCACTTCTAAAGGTTCTTTTGAAGCCATCTCTTCTGCCCCTTTTTCTGGAAAGATTCTAAAAAATGGTTTTAATGTTACTGTTATTTCACTTTTTCTTGATTTAAACATACTTTAATGCTTTTCTGAGCATAGTTTCTTTTTGGTTAAGCTTAAAAAAGGGCAGGACCTAAACCCAGTAACAGGACTTCTGTGGTTGCTTCTGGATTGCAAATGGGAAAATTTCCACCATATTTTGAAGAAAATCTTAGAAGCTAAGTCACGTCTTACTAAAGAACTGGACATTGTGGAGAACGTTATTTAAGATGTCATTCTGTCAATAAAAACTTAACCCACTTCACAGACTTTGGCATGGCATATTGAAATTATTTTTATTTTTCTTCACAAAAATAAAAATACTCTGGAATACATTGATTTCTTTTTTATTATTATTTTTTCTTCCCCATTAAATAAAACCCTTAGATCAGTCCTTTCACCTTAGGCAGTTTTAAGTCTAGAATTCTATGAGTTGGTGAAAGTAAAACGAAAATTATGACCTTGCTGAATCTACTTAAAAAGAAGGCCAAAAAACGTTAAAGGACTTCACCATGTCCATTAGAAACCCTTCATAGGTGTTGTATTTTCACTGCATATAATATGAACTTAGGTGCTTTCAGAATTTTCAGTGCACTGGATTTTGCACTGAAGAAAATCGATTGTGGCATCAGGATGAAGAACATTATAAATTGTACCATTGTATTCTGTAGTTTCTGAGTCCCTAGAAAATGTGCTTTGTTGCCTGTGATTTGTAAATTCTGGTTTGGCATATTGATTTGTTCTTCCTGGACATTTACTGATGAATGTATGCTAAAAGGGTTTTGTCTGTATAATACAGTGATATTTGTGAAGAGAAGAGCAAATCTGTGCATGTGTAGAAACACATCAGTCAGTGAGGAGAAGCTTTTGCCCCGTGCTTTTGGAACTTGTTCTCTACCTTAACCAGAATAAAGTTTACCTGATGCAGTCATGGTGTAAGTACTATACATATATCTCTAAAAGTTATTGGAAATTATCTATAATCACACATAACATCAGAGTCCGTATATTTTTATTAGAATATGGTTCTGAGCATTTCCTATTGCACAGCACATACAAATCTGAGTGCATAAACATTTTTGTCCTTTTTTATTCTCTTCCAACTTGCTTGTGGCATCCCAGCCTCAGGTGAGAGAAGGAGGACTGTCAGAGCCCTGTGAGCCTGGGAGGGCTGTGGAGAAGCCACTGAGGCTTCCAGAGAACAGCAAACAGCAGTGTGGTGCAGCTCGAGTACTAAAGCCTTGGTTTTTTATCTCCAAAGATTTTCTAGGCTTGGAGATGTTGAAGGTACAAAATGATCCATTATGGCAAGGTAAACATTTGCCTGCTCCACCTCTTTGTGGCACTTCTTGGTGAAGAGCTGGGATTGTTTTCAGTAGCAGGGGCTTAAGGCCCAGGAGTAGGGATTAAAACTAAAGCATTCCTACAGTGCCTATAGTTCTGTACACTGATATTGTGGGGTAGGTAATACTGGACATGTCTTCCCAGTGTGCTGATCAGAAGCTTTTATGTAACTGGTGCACAGATCCTCCCTGCCAACAACAATGCCACTTAATGGGAAAGAGAAACACTCTGTGGGATGGCTCTGAGTAGCATTCCTGGTGCTGGATGTCTGGGTCTATTCACAGTGTGTTGGGTTTGGGGGTGGTTTTTTGCGTAATGTCCTTCAAAAGCAATGACTTCATATCCAAAATCTGATATAATGGTGACTTTTCATAAAATCAGAAAACCTTTTTTTTTCTTTTCTCCCTGAGCAATTTCTAATACAACAATAAAGTAAAATCTGCTGTGCACAGATCGTGTAGAAATGGTCTAGACCCAGTATAGAAATTAATCTTAGAGAATTTCTTAGAGGATTTGCTTAGCTTTCCTTTCCTAATCCAACTCTTTTTCAATTGTAGTAAATATTTTAATCAAATATTTATTTTCTAGGCAAGTTTTGTCACACTTTAAAAAGTGTACAAAGTCAAGTTGATAGAGCTTTGTGCCTTGCTTCATTTGCAGTAACACTTATTTGGACTCCTCGGGCCTTATTCAATTTTTCTCTTTCCCTCTTTCAGCCACCTTTTGCAAGAAGTGATAGAAACATCTACAGAACTCATCTGAATTTTGCCAGCAGCAGTAGATACCAAAGATTCTGTCTTTTTAAAAGCTTATCTGCTTAGGGAAAAGGAGGCAATTAGGTGGGTTATTAAAATGCAATTTATGAATAAGGCACTCAGTAAGTATGCATGTGAAGGTGATTAAATTGAAGTGAGAACAACAGTTTGACTGGAATGCAGCAAACTCTGCTTCAGGCATTTTTAACATTTTTGTATGCACAGAAGTGAGGAGTTGAAATGGATCATTCTGAGACACCATGAAGTTGCCTCTGCTACACCTATGAGATGGTGTTTTCTATGCTGTGATAGCTGGTATTCCTTGAACAGTTACGGTCTGAAAGCAAGCGCAGGAATGTCACAGAATTGTCTGTAAACGTGTGTTGTATATTTATTTTTTATTTAAAGTTAGTGACCTTTTCATTTGCCCCAGGAGGCCTTCAAGCTCAGTTTGGGATGTGGCCTCTGGGAGCCAGCCACGTCACCCTCAGTCACAAACGTTTTGTGTTCTGCAGGCCAAGTGTGCCTTGCAGTATGGATGCCTCCTCCAAGGTGCACAGATGATCTCTCTGATGGAATCCAGAAGACAAGCCAGATGGCAGTTTCCTGATGCTTCTTTGCATGGGAACCTTTTGAGCAGAATTGAATTTCAGCATTTTGTGACTCTGCATGGATAGGTCTGTGAACTAAGCGTGCCCATGCCTGCAAAACTCAGAGTATTCATGTCTGCACCCTGTACTGTGGAACTGCACTGACAGGTCCTGCAGTGTGGTTTTAAGATGTTGTTTAGAACACTCATGGATGATAAAAATAGATGTACTTATTTCAGTTTTTCAGCTCTCTTTCAGGATCACATCTTAGAAAGCATTTTTATTATTGAATGAAGAAAAAGTAAGTCCCCAGTAGGGTTGTACTTACATCCAGGTGCTCTCCTGTGCCCTGGAGTGCCTGTGACCAGGCCCAAAGGCTGACACAGTGTGTGACTAAGCTGTGCTTCTGTTACAGACTGAAAAGTGAGGTTCCTACAAAAAGTGAGTGGAGAAAGAAACCTGAGCAGGGGGGAGACAATTGTGTTTCTTGGTCTGTGCCAGCTGAATATTTTCATGTTTAATGACTGTTCTGATGAAGTGCTGTTCTCTTGGCATAAGCAAATACCAGAGCCTGTTCACAGGTATCCTTACAAACATCATTAGTGATGCTGTGTCTCTTCTAGAGAGTGGAAGGTTTTTTCTCTCGGTTGCTTTTTCCTCCTGAAAGCTGGTATCTGTTATTGACTACAGAAAAGCAAATGTAGGCTGGGTCTAATTCTCTTGCTGAGTGCCTGCACTGAGCCCCTTTCAGTCTCTTGTTTCAGAGTCAGGGATTTTTATTCTCAGCTACCCCATCGACGGGAGTAAATGGAAGTTGTGGCCCCGTCTGCCTTCAGAGGGGCATCACTGCATGCTGGAGCGGGGCTGAGTTGCACTCAATCAGTGATTTGCAAAGGGGCTAAGGCCAGGTTCAGTTTATCCTGGGGGAACAGGGATTTGTGCAGTGATAAGGTGAGGGAGCTATTGTTGCACTGTACTCCTGTGAGAGGGACTGGAAGGCCCAGCTGAGGCAGGGCAGAAGTCTGCAGCCCTGGCAATCCTGATACTGCATGTCACTAAGGGTTTTTTCATGTTAGAGAACTGCTGCTTTCTCTTCTCTGATGGATGCTTAGAGGGAAGGAATAAAAAGGAAGTTTCTGATCTGAAAGCTTCCCTAATTATTCTTTCAGTATAGCTGGGGAAGTGAGATGCTGCTAGTTTCTGGTAAATAGTGAAGATTTCATCCATCTTTGCATTATGAAGTCAAAAGCTTTTATGTGGTCAGGACTATTCGGACTTGATAAAAATAGATGAAGTGGAAGGCAATCCACAAAGTGAGAATGGTGCATTTCAGAGTCTGTGGTATTTGGAGAGAAGACAACCTTTGTATATGGTGCAGTGTGGGACAAGGGTTGGGACAAGAAAGATCAGTGTCCTCATGCACAGATCTTCGGCTCTGTCTGTGTTACAGAGCTCTGTGTGAGCTGGTAGAATTTTATCATGCTTCCAGACTAATTAACCTTTGGATTGAGACAAGCATAAAATATTTCACCCAAGAGACTAATTTATCCATAAAGTTATGAACTGCAGAAAAAAGCAGTGTATATAATGAAAGTGTTTTCTCAACCATGTGAAGATCAAACTCAGGCTGCAGCTGACAGAGAGTTTGGGCTCCGTACCAATAGTTGTCCTGCAGAAGTTTCTTTTCAGTATTCCACAAATGAATCACACATGCCACAACCATCACTTCAGCACTTCTGTATCATAATAATAAACATAATAGTTTTTTGCTTTTCTTAAGTGGTGAAAGTCAAAAAACTTGAGAGAGTTTCTCATGGAAGATTATATGACTCTAATTTATTTCTGATTCCCCTCTTTCTGTGAACTTTTTAAAATAAAAAAGCTTTCAGGAAATGTATCTTGAAAGTGTCTGTGTTTTGTAATGAAAACTTGCATAGGCTGCATGACATAGTCTGAGATCAGCATTTCTTAGAACTCATTTCACTTGCAAGTTCTTTAAGACCAAGTTACTTTTTCTCCCCTAATGAGGATTTTTGCCTGATTTAGTGATTAAATTGATAATTAAGGTTTCCATTCAGTGATGTATATCTATTAATGTTTGATTGTGCCATGTCTTCTTCCCCAGGTAGATTATAGATTTAACTTTTTTGCCTTTCTTTCTTTTCAGGTCTGTGTGAGAGTAACACCGAAGCCTTGGCCAATACTGAGCCAGTTTGGCTGCTGTGGCCAGCAGGCTAAATAGATATTCGAATTGTACTTGCCTTAATTATTTTGGTGATGTTTTTTACAACAATCCCTTGAACTTAAGAAGCAAACTGTTTGGACATGCAGTCTAGCTCCTGTGTCCTGCATCTAGAAATGGCCTATGGTGGATACCAAGGGAAGAGCACAGAAAAATAGAGGAAAATACATTGTGACATTTTTCCCGTGGAATTCTGCTTGTATCCTTAAGATGATGCTGTATCCTCTTAGCTTTATTTGCCTATGTTCAGATAGGTTCTATAGGGTGAGGATCTTTCTTTTTTTTCCTGTGTTAACTGCAACTTCTTTGGAAGTCATTTGCAAACCCAGTTGTGGAATTCCAAGCGGATCCATCACTTGGATCCCTTTGTCCCCTTCAGAGAACCTTGAAGAACACTCAATAATTTTACAAGGCAGGGTTTAGCTTACAAAAACTGCATTACATCTTAGCCCATCTGTCTTTATGACTCCTGATTTTGTTCTCCCAGATTTCCATCCGTTTGTCTGGATTGCTGGGGTTGTCTGTAGTTTTCCTGTCTGTTCTGTTTTCCTGACAACTCCTGGTCAAAGCACTCCATAGCAGACAGGGACACTGTGTGTTGGTCATCTCTGTGCAGCTTCTTTGGTGTGGCCTGGCCTTCAGTGCCAGGCAGGACAAAGGGATGTGTCCCTTCCCTTCCTCCTGGCAGTGCTGTGCAGCCGTGTGCTCCCCACTGCCCCCCTGGAGGGGGCTCAGCACCCAGGGGATGCTGGTTCGGGGCCTGCTTCCACTCTGCCTGTGCTGTGGAGGCCCGGGTGAAATCACCAGCTTTGCTTCTGCTGTTATGCTGAATCTCCATCCACATGGTGGTCAAAGGGCATCATTTGACATTTCGTGTTTTGGTGTAATTTTCAGTGTGAAAAACATTTAACAGTCTAGTGGTTTTAAGGGTATTTAGCATAAGCAGTGCCATTTGACAGTAATTTTATAAAAGAGTCTTTGAATTTTATATTTTTCTGCTTCAGCAGAGAGAAATTTCACACCACCTTAGACATTTGTCCTTTCCTATTGCCTAGAGTTTTTAAAAGAATATTTCCTAGTTTTATATTAAACAAGATTGTCCTTAATTTTTTTCCTTTCCTCTTACAAAATCATATGTTTGTTATATGCAAGGTGTGCCTTTGCAGCAGGCAGCTGGAAATTCAAAGTGATCAGTATGAACTGGTAGTCCAGGGAAGACAGAAGTATTGGTACCTGTAAGGTTTCTGTACTTCCTTTTGTTTTGCTGTACCTTTTGCTGCCTTACAAGTACTCTTTGACTGTTTAACTGCTTTTTTTTTTTTATTCTTAAGCTATGTTTTAACTTTTGCTGCCTTACAAGTACTCTTTGACTGTTTAACTGCTTTTTTTTTTTTTTATTCCTAAGCTATGTTTTATACTGAATTAGAAATTGTATCTCCTTGCATCAGATTGAATAACTAACTTTCATTACAGAAATTATCAGCATTTTTTTTTAAAGAGTTTTTGTGGCACTTACAGTCAACTTACAGAATACTGCAAAGAAATCTGTGCAAGACAACCATTGCTGTTGGGCCAGGACATTCCTCTCTGTCAGCTCCAGCCTGAGTGTGATCTCCGTATTCCAGGGGCATAAAGCTATGTTTAGATTCCCCTCACCCCATTCTCCAGTGCTTTTCCAGCTATTTTTATCTTACTGTTTCCTTGTAACCTTAAGAGGTATTTTGGGTAAAAATCACTTAGTTTCCTTTGAAGTCTGCCTGGAAAATGCAGCAGGACAAGTCCCAGAGAAGCAGCTCCATAAGGATTTTATTAGTTTACTGCTCTGTGTGAATGGACATGTGTGTTCTGCTGGACTGAGCCAGGGCTGCCAGTCAGCAGCCCCCAGTCTCTCAAATCTTGTTCCAAGGCTGTAACTTGGTTTAATTTCTTAACCTCGCCTTTCCTCAGTTTCCTTACAAAGTGTTAACTTTCTGAGGTCTGCAGCACTTCGGGTGGAAGGTTTCTCCACGTGCATCATGGTTTTGCTTTGTACCATGGTGCTGTCACCACTGAGCCAACAGAACACAAAGCAGCTGTGGTAATTTTTGTTCTTAGTTGCAGAGTTTTTTTCCATTCTCAATTCCAGCTGCACATATCATGGTATAAAAACTACAGTTCTTCAAGATGAAAAATATCTCCTGACAAAGGCAAGTGTAAAAGCCTAAAGGTGTGCAAGGAGTTCAGAACTAAACTAACATAGATCTGGAAATTGCTGATATCTGTAAACACTGTTTTGCAACAGCTTTTAATATGTGAAATGATGCGCTGCAGATGATGAATCAATCAAATTATAGTGAAGTGTGAGATGACAGCATAAAGCAGAGAATGGCAGCAATGCCTAGTTTATACTACTTATCCCTAGGCTGACAGCATGTACTGTCATAAATCTATTTGGTTTATAACTAGGCCATAAAACCTTACATCAGGCTTAAATGCAGGAGGATTCTGTACTTCAAAAATTGTGAATTTATAGAGAAATACATCAGTGATTTGTTAATTAAAATTGCAGTGCTTTAACAGTTATTTACATTTCTTTTGCACTCTTATAACTTGTGCTTTTTGGACTCAATTTATGTTCCCCGTAAATCTGTGTGATCTGTTTAAAAGTTGCTGTCTCCTTGGCTTCATCAAATTTCTTTTTATATATACAGGTGTGACTTAGATAATACTCCTTCATAATTTCTGTAATTACGTGGGGGACCTTGCTGAAACTTCACAGGAGGTTGACGAGACTAAAGTGAGTTTGGGTTTGCTTTAAAATATGTATATGAGGGTAGCAAGAACACAGAACTATTAAAAGAAACTGAATAAGGAATGAGTTACAATGCTTATCTTGGCTCTCTTAGGAGATTTAGTGTCCTTACAGTTTATTCCATGTTTCTTCATATTCTTATTGGTTCCCATATCTACTTGACACTGAGCAGTCTTGCAGAGACTCTGGCAAGTCTCTGTTTCTGCAGAATACTAGAAGTAGACCAGTGTACTCTAAATGACCCAATTTTAACAATAGCATAGCTAAACATACAGCACACACATCCTGCAGCCCTTGACTGATGGAAAAACTAAGAGCTCTAGTTTAAAATGACAAGATCTTTTTATTATTGTATCAGTAATAAAACAGGGACAGAAGCATCAGAGGACCTACTGTGATCTGTACCATGTCTTGCAGTCACATTAGAAATGATCTGTAAATCAGTTTGACAGATTTCATCAATTGGGGCAATATATGCTGGATACACAACCAGTACACATGTTGCAAGGGATGTTCAAACTGCCATTAGTTCAAAACCCATTCTGTTTTTTATAGAATGCAGTGAAATCAAGTGGAAGGAATAAAACACCATCAGTGAAAGAAGGAGAGGTAAACACCAGCTGTCAAGAGAAAGGTAACATGCACTTGGCATTCAGTTTGTAAGCTGAGTGGTGTGTACCAGGAAGAACACCAAAATAAAACTTTTAAGGCAAAATACATTAGAGATTCTTGCTTTTTTGGGCAGGGCTGCAGCAAGACAGTGGCTCTTGGAGACTTGCACTTCAGGTCCAGGCAGTGTTACAGAGGTGACACCAGTTTGCCCCTGCCAAGACAGTTCACTTTGTCCTCAGAGAATCAGGGTATTTGTGGGGCAGCTGCAGCTATTGCTATCCAGTTTTGGAAAGAGGAAGACCACGGGTTATAAGGGGGTTTAAATGAGAGTGTTTGGTCCCAGTTCTGTGTCTCGCCTCTGAGGTTCAGCTTCTTGGATTTAGGTGTTTAAAGGTAGTATCTTTGTTCTAGCTTTTGCACTTCTCTAATGAGAGACACCTTTCATCACCTGAGATATGTTTCATGCAATAGTTACTGATTACTTCCAAAAAAACTGAGATTTGATATTTGTGAAGCAAAAGGAAAAGTAATACTGTAACTGAAATCTTCTTTATTCACACGCCACATGTAACCCAGTAATTCCCACTGTGAGGTTCCATACACAGCAAGAGCATTGTCTTTCCCCTTTGTCTTGCAGGGACTCACCAAGCACATACAGGTACTTCATGGGAAAAAAAAAATGCAGAGTTTAACTTTGCTCCTTTCAGAGAGACAATTTTGTACTCATGGAATGCTTTTCACATCCCAGCTTCAGTGTGATCCAGAATCTCTGAGATCAGTGATGATCTTGGGACAGTGGCAGGCAGAGATTTCTGCAGGTGCAGTGCTGTGATCTTTCTGGCTACTAGGACTGGTATTGTAGAACTGGTAGTTTACCTTCTTCATTCCAGAAATGTGGTCACATTGTGCTGAGCAGCCGTGGCCTGGTTTGTAGTCTGTTGCCTCAGGAGGGCTGCTGGCAGCCTCTTGCAGAAATACAAGAGGCAAAACAGAACAGAACCCCTCCAGCCTTAGCTTGTCTTTAATGAGAAGCTGCTGCCATGGCCAGTGGGGGGTTTGGCTTTTTTTTTGGATAAATTTTGTTTGCCCTCCTTCCTCCCACCCCTATTTAAAAAACAGCAGCTCAATAGCACAGCAGCAAATGCACATTAATATCAAACAGAATTTTCACTACCATTTTCGTATTAACATAAGATGTTAGAATGTAAAGTGAGCTGGATCTGCACATGGGACCACTCTTGCTGTTAAAGGCTTTAGGCTGGAACAGAGCCCAAAATTCTTAGAAGAAATCCAACATTTCTTGATCAAATATTAATTACATGCCATATAGAATTATATGTTTCAAACAACTTTTATAAATAAAAAGCTAGGCCTTTCAAACCATCAGCAATATTAATTTTGGATTTAAAAGATTATGAAAGATAAACAACCACATAACTGTGAATTAGAAAAATACTGGCCTAGGTTGCATAAAAACCTTCATTAAATAAATATGGAAAGTTTTCACTATGAAAACTCAGTGGCATCGTACTTAAAAAAGCCATAATGAATTAACGGTCCCTTAATGACACTCAGGTTGTGTTTCATGAATCACAAACACACACAGGACGTCAGATGGCCCCAACAGGTGATGGACTGGGTTCATACAGTTCAACAGCAAGTACTCGGGCTGTGTGCTGCTCCTCCATGCCAGCTCCTGCCTGCTGCTGCGGCTGCCAGCTGCACACCCTGGACCCTTCTCCTCCAGGCTGCCGTGCTGGCCCGAAGCTCCCAAGGCTGCTGCCGCGGGAGGTGCCCGTGGCTGGGCTGTGTGTCCGTGCCTCAGGCCAGCGGCCTGGCCCCGGGGTGGGTTGCAGGGAGCGGGTCTGGTTTCCAGTCTGGCTGGAAGAAGCGGATGTCGAATGTCCGTGCCCAGTTCTCGAAGACGCGCTTCTCGGTGATGAAGCGGTGGTGGCTGCCCTTGCGGCCCCGCTCGTGGGAAATGTACATTGTGCACTCGTCTGGCCCCAGAGGTTCATAGTAGTGATAAGGTACTGAAAGATGATTAGGATCCCTGTGGAAAAAAGAAAATAGATGGAAGCCCAAGATGTTCTTTCTCATTGATTGAAAAGATGCTATCTTTAATGAACTAATGGCCTCAAATCCACTTTTTCTCCCAGTTAAACTACGTAGCTGGTTTTTTTTCTTGCATGTCTAATACATCAGAATGGGGCAAAGGTGTTTGCTTTTTCTTTTGCTCTCCTTTAATCCTCTTCCTCCCAGTTAAATGAAGGACAGCAGTAGCTCAGAAGCTCAGAAACAAGGGAGAGTGCTGCAGGGCTGTGTTACTACTATGAAATTTGAAATAAACTGCTTAAAAGATACCTAACTCTAGATTGTGATTTGCTAAAGGTCTTGTAGAGGTATTTCCTGATCTGGGGAAGAAGGAGAAGATGACAGATGGAGGTGGTTATCTGTGTCACGTCAGCTCAGCTGAACGTTCCCAGCATGCTGCGCGAGGTTCCGAGAGCACAGCTTCGGCGAGTGTCTGCACGCCAGGTCAGTGGTACAGCCTGCTGTTGCTGGCATTTTTATCAAACGTCTGATGCACAAATGAGTTCTTTGTTATACAACAGCAGCTTTTATGTATCTAAGCTAAAAATTAAAACAGTTCACCCATAGTATCCATCTGACCTTGTGAACCCGTTCACATTTCCCAGCGGGAGATGAGTGACTCGTGGTGACACGTTGGATATGCCAAACACCAATTAGATACTTTAGAATAAAGTTCATTTTAGCAGTTCTGACCTCAGTGTTTCCATGTTACATTCTGTAAATGGCACATCTGTATTATAATAAGCCAGAGCAATTCATTCTCCTTTTGTTTTAATCTCTATCTGTACCCATGATGGTTTTTTTACTTTGGGCACAGGTGTTTTGGGCTGACAGGAACTCTCACACTCTCTGTGTCATAAATACTAAGAGAGCAAGCTGTCCCAGACAGAATTACCCAATTGTATCCCTCTCTCCCTGACTGCTACCAGCTATTTTGCTGTAGCAGAAAATTTCCCAACATCAGCATTTAGTGAAGCCTTGGAGCTGCTCTGTGTTACAGCCTGAGCTGAACAGGACCCCAGCACAGAACAAGAAATCTGATACAGATTCAGGGCTGTCAGCTCTAATATACAGTTGATTATTTTCATTTTGAAGAGCTAATATTTAAGGTCGCTTTCAATGGAATGCATCCACAATCTGTCAGTAGTCTGTGCTGGTCATTATTTTTACTGTGTAATTCTGTCACCTACGCAATTTTCTAATTTTTCTTATTTTGCCATTATCCTTATTGTATATGCAGAGGTAATGTATGATATTGCTGCTGCTTTCCATTTGTGCCTTAGATTAACGTTTTAATTCGATCAGTCTGCCTTCCTTGTAACACAATATGGTAATCAATCTTACAAGACCAGAACAACAATAAAATTACATTTCTAGAATAAGATGGATTCTAAACTTATTAAATATATTCTCACTGGAATACATAAGAGTGAAACAAAATCCTTCATCACCTCACCTTCAGAAAATGTATTTGCAATCTAAAGCTGCCCTTCATGTAGAAATTTATTATTTCTAAACTACAACTATTAGAACTCAATCTTCAATTAATTTTTCACTTTTTTGATACATTGGACCTCTTACTGTCACTTAAATGAATCATTTGTATGGTTACTGTAAATCTAATAGGATACATTGTAATGTGATGTGTTTTTGTTAAGAACTACTCAACAGATAGGCCTCTGCCTCTCATCCAGACTGCTCTTCCTTCTTGCACTAAAGCTGGATTTTACTTTTGGGTCCTCAACCTGTATTGCTTGGTATAAATTTACTGCTTTAAAGTTATGATTAGTAAAGTTGAAATCTTATCTCCAACAGACCTGGCGAAAAATCAGCCCCAGTTAACAGGGCAGTGAGCCTGTGAGGCTGCAGGTCCCTCCAGGCAAGGTGTTTTTGAAGCCAGGGATTCCACATTCCATGGAAGGCTCTGAACTAACACCAGTGTGTTCTCAGTGGATGTCCTTAGCTCCTGCCAGGCTGTACCAGAAACAGCCCAGAGGCAGCAGGCACAGGGCCTGGCAGTGAGAGAGGCAGGAGCTCCGTGCAGGCAGCCTCTGGGGCTCAGGCCCTGTGTGCAGCTCTGCTGCCTGAACTGGGGGTGAGATCAGGGCAGGAACGGGGGCTGGTGGCTACAGACCTCTCTAGGACTACTCTGCAGCTGACTGAGGTTTAAAGGCTAAATTCCAAAAGCTGTCATTTAGATTTGGAATTCTGAAGGGTACTTACATATGGAGGACCTTCTCATTTTATGGGAGTTCTGGATTCCCCCAGATTGCATGCTAGTAAGCTTTGGATTTGAATTCTGGCTTGAGTACACCATAACCCAAATTAACTGTGCTGTGTTATCTTCTAACACTGCAATTAGCTTGTGTCACCAGCAAATGAAATGCATGAGTAATTTCTATACGGAAATTGCTTGCCACCTCATTTATTAACATTAAAACAGATGCTGTTTTATCACTGACTGATACTGGACATTAATCAGTATTTTGTCAGACTCTGCATGCATATTAATAGCACAGCTGGGAGGAATCTCGGGAAGTTCCTCTGTAAAATATCCTGTGCTTCCTGCCAGGTCACCTGCCAGCACAGCACCCGTGGAAGTGCTTGTACCCCTGTCACTCAGCCACTGTTTGCCACTTGAGTGCACATTTTCCACAGATGGTATCCACCTACAGCAAAAGCTGGAGGAACAGCACAAAAAAAAGGCAGGGAAATCAGGCCACCCCGTATCACATTCTGGTCAGCCTCTTTCCTTAGAAATGAAGAGCCATACTAAATCCTCTAAAACTATAGGTACTCACACACTTTGTAAAATAATTCATATTTTGATGTGTGAGTAACATTTCATTTAGATGTTGAGTAATGGGCAAGGCGCTGTGTCAGGACATGAAGATTTCTAGATAATCTTGTGCCTTCTGTTCCCAGGATCTCCTTTCCCTGACCTCCATAATTAGTCCTGTTTTCCAAACCATGTATGCATTTTGTTCTTAAGCTAATGAGGTGAGGCATATGGACCAAAAAGCAGATCTAGCTCACATACAGCTTACAGTTTCTCATAAGCTTCAGGAGATGTAACCAGCAACAACTGCTGCTTTGCATTTGATTTAAAAGAACTGAAAGTGGAGACAGAGAGAGGTAAGAAAACTCTAAAGTATTTAAAATACCAATTTTCAGGTGAATTATCATGGAAAATGACCTGGCAGTCAAATGAGGATTCTGACAGGAAAATTATCTGGTTCAACAACTGGAACAAAAATTATTCATATTAGTTAAAATAAGGCTCAGAATTCATTTTGAAGTTTCTAGGAGTTCCAGAAGGCCCATGAAGAGGAGAAGAGTTAAAGAGGGTTCATCTCACTAACGCCTTGAGTGTTCTTTGTGTACAGGAGTACCTTGAGTCCTGCAGGGAACCAACCCTTCTGTCCCTGCTGCCCATAATGCCACAGACAGGGCTGGAATTCCTACAAACACACTAAGGCTTGTCTTGTCCTCCCCAGCCCTGCTGCTGAGCGCCCACAAAGGGAAGCAGCAGCCCTGCAGTGCCTTCAGGAATTGTCGTGGTATCTGGGCACCACTACCGGCTACTGCTGAAGGGAGGCAAGAGGAGAATCCAGGATGTCCCAGTTCAGGAGTGCTGTGCATGCAGGGCTGCCAAAGGGAGTTCTGAGAGGGAAGTGCTTCCCATCTGGAAAGGCTTGGATTGGATCCCTTGGCACTGGAAAAAATACAGCAAGATGGTTTGTCTGTCTTGGGCCAAAAGAGGGAGAGGTGTGCACGCTTCACAAAAATGTTTGCAATGCGCATGGAAGGACAAGCTTTCATCTTACTACAGAATGCACAAGACAGCATGAGAGCAATATCACCCTTACTACAGCATAAATCTGCAGCAAGCAAAGGGGTTTGAAATTACTTACAGCTTTGCTGTAAAGTATTAGAAATTTATAATAATTAGGACACCAAGTCTAGTTCAGCTATGAAACTCAGTGTCCAGTGAAAGTAAATAAAAATGAATCTAAAACACCTTGTTGCAACTAATGGTGACAAATCTTTTAGTCTGTGCTCCAGACTCCTTCACTAACCTATTTTTCCTGCACGGGTGCAAAGCAGTTTGGTTAATGATCTTAAGCTAATAATTTGTAGCAGAATCAACAGCATGAGATTCCTGGTACCTTTGAGGTGTCCTTCACGTTACAAATGTGACACTAATTTAGTTCCATGACAGTGATCACCACACTCATTACTTATTCCACAAATTAATACTTCAAAATGAATGGGTATCTATCTGCTGAGTTATAAATTTGGTGATACTAATTATGAACAGAAATAAGATTTTTTTCAATCTTAATGATTCTTTAGTTGCACAGCAAGTAGGATACCCACACCGACCTAGCACACACACATTTCCATTGTTTTGTTGGGACTTTTTGTTTTGATTTTTTTTTTATTTTAATAGTAGATTCTTATTCTGTCTGACTGAAAACCAGGAAATATGGCTTACAATTACAGAATAATTTTTTTTTCTGCTATTCTGTTCTGTTGTCTTATCTCTTTGAAAGAAAGCACTTCTTAATGAGTGGCTGAAGAGCCAGCTAAGATGGTTAACTCTATTTAAGGCAAGAAACTCCTGTCACAGATCTTCATGGACAGCTTCTTCCAGGCATGGCAACTACAATTTTCCTCTTCATCCCCTGGGGAATCAAGCTGAAGTAGAGACATTTCGTATTACTTTGATTAAGAAATTACCTTTTCCCTTTTTACTACCAGGTGTGTGTACTTTATGTTGAGATTTTTTTTATGCAGGCTGTAAGAACAATTACATCTTTCACTGGTAGGACTGATCTACAGCCTTTCTTGTGTTATAATTTCAGTCCATTTGATTTCAGTGTATTGATTCTATGAAAGCCTTTCATATGCTCTCAGTGACATTTTTAGTCTCTCTCAAACAGTTTGTTTGGGTTTAGCTGGATTTTTTTAATGTGTATCTAAACTATTCTTTGTCTGAAAAGTCAGGATTGCACATTATTTTGCAGTAAAATGCTGTCTTCTGTATTTTTAGATCATCAGTTTAAGAATTACTTCCATGTGCCATGGGAATACAGCCACTTCTGGAGTAACACAGACCAGCCACTTAACAGAAACTGAAGTAGTATGTGTTGGCCAACTGAGATGACTGAGGAACAAGATGCTGTGCTGTGGAAGGTATTTGTGTTGTCTGGCATATCTGATCTAGTCTGCTGTTTTCCTTGGAGAATTCATGATGAAGTCTGGCAGTACATCACAGCATTTATCATCAGTATTTTGTTATAATTTGTAGAAATTCTCACAAAGTGGAGTTTAGTGTTGACATTATATGCTGTGATTTCTTTGGGGATTTCTACAACGTGCCCAAGACAAATGCAGATTCCTGAACGATCCTTGTAAGTGCTCAGAGGAAAATCAAAGCAGTCCCATTCTTTGAGACTAACCCAGCACTGTAGCTTTTCCCTCCCTGCCCCTGAAAGGCATCTGGAATTACCCAGTGAACCAGACTTGAGACAGATCATGGCATTTGCAACAGAAAATTTAAACAAGTACTTCTTGCTGAGAGGGGTTTGTGAGCAGGTGATGAAACGCTGCACTGAGGCCTCGTTCCAGACTGGCTCCATCTCCTCCTGGGTCACCCAGCAGGACAAATGGCATCAGCACTGGCTGTGGGCAGGAGCCACTCAGTGCTGGGTGGGCAGGTGAGACTTATGTCAGCATCAAGACTGCTGATGTAATACAAATGTGTCTGTGTTCATACTGGTATCTTGTGGCTAATGCAATTCTGGTCTAGCACTAGAAGTTCTGAAGCCTCTCCCTGTGTCACTGATCCATAGTGGGAAAGGCTTAACCAGGACCTGGGGTCTGGGTCCTGAGCACGGCTGGAGGCAGAACAGGGCTGGAAAAGGGGCACAGGCTGTTCTTTGGACAGCAGCTTCCACTGGCACAATTGTGCTGCCTCTGCCTCCTGTGACCCCCCTGCCACGTCCAAAATGGGGGATCATAGAACGGATTCTCTGGGGCCAAATTCACAGGGACAGATTTCCTGGGCACTGTTTAGGAAGCTGCAAGATTGGCATTCATGTGACAGAGATACAATAATGTTAATTTGAGTTGCACAGAAAGTTCAATTTAGAAACTAGTCACTGTGAGAACACTGTTCCTCCATTAATTTGGGGGGAACTTGAAAACAAATTAAAAGTAATATTTTCCAGTACTTCTTTCTTCAGATTAATTTCATGCCAATTATTGCATTACTTTTAGCTGATAAATATTCACAGACTAAAAGAAAGCAACAAGATGGATTAATTCTCCCACAGTACAAACAAATTTTTAAAATATTTTATATAACATAATTAAATGCTGTTTGTTGTTTTCAGAATGAGATCATGGGACATCTAATTAATTGCTTTAAGAGGACTAAAGGCTTGTTGCAGAGGAAAAAGATTAAAAGATTCAGATATTTATCTGTAACATTAAGTTTTTTGGCTAATAATGGTTCTAAAATAAATCCTACCTGCAGAAATCCGGTGGCACCATGCCATAAACATTTATCCTGTCACAGAGCTCTAATGCGATAGTCATTGTGAACCAGCCCGTGCTAAGCCAAGTGTTGGATATCTTCCTGAAAGCAAAAACATAATTAAGTTTCTAAGCTGGCAAATAATTCCTGAGATTTATTTATTTATTCATTCATTCATTCTGAAGCAATTTCTTGGCATTTTCTTCATTCTTGTAAAAGGCTTTGAAAACTGGGAAACCAAGACTACTTTGCTCATCCATCTTTTAATGATTTTTCTGGTGCCTCCTGTCAGTGGAGTAATCTGGGCAGGAACTTTCCTTGCTTAATTAATTTTAGGCACAACAACATTAATATTTAGCTGACCTTTTGACTTGGTTTCTAGAAGCTCCCAGCCTTGCACTGTGACTGCTGGTAGGAAACTCTTTAGCTGGTTGCAGCTATGACTGTCCCATAGCCAGCCTGGGAAATCATCATCCTAGGAACCACCCCAGGTGCCATCTGGGAAGGCCTGGGCACCCTACCTGAATGTATTAATGTAGGACCTACATTAATCCCATTCCTCCACACCTGGATCTGCCAGATTCCTGTGAAGCTTTGTCACAGCTCAGAAAGCACAGCAGAAAACATGAGGTTCTCTTCAGAGAAGTCACCAGGGAAGCCCAGGTCCTGGCCCAAGTTCCAAGGCCATCTTTTACAGTTTACCCAATGATAGCAGGATGTGGAACAGTCTTGAAAGCAGGGACCTGAGGCCACAAAAGCCACTGCAAGCAAGTGCTAGCAATCACTAACATCTAATTCAGCTGACAGGAGCCACCACACAGCTTCCCAAGCTAATGCTAAACAAGCTGGTTCCAAGTAGGTCACCTACAGGGCAGTAGGAGGAGATGTTTTGAGCACTGTCAGATTGAGGAATGCCTTGTACCAAGGTTTCCCATGTCCTCAGGGAATCAGACTACTACAAGGGGGACAAAAAAAAAAAAAGTGGTGGTGTCTGTGCCAGCTGCTTAAAAGACCCTTCTAAATATAAGGGAATTCTTTGACTAAATATGCCTGGAGGATGCTGAGGAGCCTAGGTAATTTGTCCTGTCCTTAGTGGATCACCTGATAAACTGATATAAACTCCCGAAACATACATTTTTACTGCTCCTGACACACAGACTTTCAAGCTAAGCTAGCATTTGGAGAATGACATGTTATAAGCATCTCATTATTTCCAATTAATGGGGACTTATTTATTTTCTGACTGCACTGAAGCTTGGGGGTGGTGGTGCAGTTTGTCACAATGTCATAGCTGGGTCATAAGCTCTGTGGAGGCCTTCAGGCACAGCAACAACATGAAACAGTGAGAATTTTTGGCTCAAAATTATTAGGAAAGAGAATGGTACGGAAAAACCTAAAAAATTTACTTCTCTGGCACCTAAGAGTTTCTGAGCTCTGAATCACTAGATAATTCGGGAACATGTTCAGGCTAAGAGTGGTCTGGAGCTTGCACAAGTCCACTTTCCACGTGCCCAACACTTACATTCCAAAACCAAGGGAGCAACTGCAGCCAGACACGACCAAAGCTTTGCACAGGTCAGGACACCAGCTAGGCTCCCTGCTTTATTTTCTGGGTTAGCTTTCTGCTAACACACTTTATGCTTACACACACTTAGGCCGACACCAGCTAGGCTCCCTGCTTTATTTTCTGGGTTAGCTTTCTTTCTGCTTACACACACTTAGGCTGTCATTTAGTGTTTTCCAGAAACAGGAAAACAACTGAATATAACTAAACTGGCTTAGAAGCTGAATAATCAAATAAAGATTCTAAAATTCATTCAAGTACCGCTTTACCCTCTCTAAATACCATGTCTGTAGGACAGCAACACAGAAACAGGGTTACAGTGTCTTGCATTTCCTACAAGATCTGAGCAAGAGTCCAACAAAAGAATACTGTTTTTATACCTAATCAGCAGTAATGAGAGAATATGAAGAACTGCCATGTGCTTATTAGGGGAAATTATCAGATTTTTTTTATATGATGAACTAACACACTGTGCTGATAATTCTGTAGTGCACACTACATTACAATTAAAGGCCTTTCTGCTCCACCAGAATCTCATTTATAATCTCTTTGGAAATACTCTTCCTGCAGTTATTTCATTTATGCTGCTTTTATCTAATTACTATAATATTGGTTCTGAATCGTATTTTCTTAATGTACCTTTATTCAATTATAAAGTTATTTTCAAGTACAGTTACTTTATAATGCCAAATATATTGCTCTGCAGCCTTTGTCTTTCACCATGCTATTTAACTGGCAATGTTTTCTGAAGATTTTTCTTAATTTCAAAATATTTTTTTCCAAAAAACACAACACATCCAATTACCTTTCTTCTCATCATTTTCAAGACAGAAATGAATAGTCTGATCCTTGCAACCTTGCAATCATGCTTCTCTCTCTCTCCTTTGTTTTTTGTAGGCAGTAATGTCAAGAGCTCAGCAGAAACCCCCTGGGGAACAGTAGCATTCCGGGCTACACAATGTTCTGCTTCTGCCCCCACAGTGAAGTTTTTCCCTTACAAATGATTTCCTATCCATGTTTCTTTTCATTTTCTCTTTCTTCTGTGCAGCTTATTCATTTATTTTCATCTCCTGTTTTAATCTTCTTAGCCCTTCAAGTATGCTGTCTGTGCCCTCTAAAGGAGTGGTTCATTCAGAGCAGAGCCTGCAGCTTATTAAAATCAAGAGGGCCTGTTCCTCAGGCTGACTTTTGCTGGCATCTGAGTGCCCTTGATTCACACTGGGAGTTCAGGGTGCCCATGACTGAGTTCGCTATAAACTTGTTACAATGTCATTAATGGCTCAAATGCCTTGAGAATATTTCAGGACGTGAGCTTGGTGCCTGTGCAGAAAAATAAATGCTTTCATCACACTCAGTACAGGCCTCTGGCTCTGGATGGGTGATGCAGAACCAGAAAGAGCAGCTTGCCTGAAATTGCACAGCATGTGTTAAAAAAAGAACAGGATCCTGGCAATGTCAGGGAAGGAAGGGGACCCTGGCTCCCCATGGCAAAACTGAAGTCTGAGAGTGAAGCAGGAAGGGAAGCTGTTCCTCAGAACTGGGGACAGCACGTGATCCTACTCTGGATCACCAAAAGCACAGTCCAGGAAAAGAGGTGGCAGTGTGCATTCCTTGTGTCCAGGGCCTCCTCCTGGGGCTCATGGTGGCCAGGTTACAGTGCAATTACAGCTTTGTTGACTTTCATGCCTTTGTAAATACTGAGCACACAGATAACCCTCTGCACATTTCTTGAAGGGTTCAAATGCTTAATTCACCTTCTCACTTTGCTTTACTCTGGAAAAGACAAACATATCACAACTGGCAGGGTATCTCCCCTTGTTATCCTTCCTTCTTGTTCTGGCAGAAACCCAGATACACCAACTGGAAGATGAAGAGAAGAACCTTTAATGTTACAAAACTGACCAAGTTACTCTGTGCTCTTGTTTGTGCCTGAGTCAGCCACAAACTCAGATCCACTATAACTGAATAGAGCTCTGCAAGCAAACCATGTGGAGTGTGACAAAGGCAGCAAATGCCAAGCAAACATTGCCTTCAGCTAAAGGATACAACAGTTTCTTCTAACACTGGTTCTGCCTTTCTCATGTAGCCCAGAAAATGAAATCTGTGCTCAAGTCCACAACAGGATTGTTTCCTGTTCGAACTTTGGGGTGTGTGTGTGTTTTTATTTGTAAGGTAGCACGTCTGACTGTAAGTTACTGCACAATAAACCTACCTCTTCATTTGTATCTAAGTGGGGACCCTGTGCCATTTTTACAGCAGCATATTTAGTAAGTAAAAAACAAAACTTCATTAAAATCAAATGTCTTTTGTGCTGGGAAGTCTTTAGTTTGAATGCCCGTTTTCAAACATCATATATGAAAATGCTCAAGTACTGCAGTGGGTCACTTACTACAAATTTCATTTGAAGATCAGCCTACAACTCTCATAAACAGTCTCATAAAGATGTAACTATCATAATAACTTTCCATTTTCCAGTTGCAAATGTAAGATGAACTGTTCTGAAGCACCCAATGTATGACTAATGTTTATTTGTTTTACAAGAAGCTTTACAGCTGCAATGTTCCAAAAACTTAAATTCATGCTTAAATTCAATAAACAGCTATTATAATTCACTGAATGGTGGCATTTCCTCTATAAGAAAACATAACCTATCAATTCTAATTTTTCAGAGTCAGTGAAAAAAACTTTAATGTATATTACTCCAAAGTGAGATTTAAACAGTTCCTGCCTCCTTGACTCTATAAACATTACATCCAGACTATGGTATTCTAGGCTGATGAGGCAGTACTCCATACAAATCACTTTGATGTGTATTTTTTACTTACGTTACCAGTGATGTTATTTGGCATGTCATGCCACATTACAACTCATGAGGCAGAGGATTTAATGGGCAGGATTGTCCCTCTGAGCAGATCTGAAATTGGTATATATAAACTGCATTATTTTACTACTCTGAGACATCCCCTAGGTGTATCCATATAAGTTCTCACCTGTCTTTTCCAGTCTCCCGTTTAAAAAGGTCATCAAATTGAAGCATCTTGTGGCGAGAAATCATATACACTTTTAGCTGAGGCAGTATCTGGTTCATCAGCTGCAGGTTATTGTACACCAAGCCTTTGCCATCTCTCCTCATGTAGCTGCTGGGGCCCCAGAAGATGAACACGGCACCATGGCTCATATTTAGGAGTTCGTTGCGATTCCGCAGAATCCTCTGGATGCTGGAGTGCGCGATGACTCGCAGGCTGGTTTTGTTGCCGACGTCTTTGCCGTAGCCGCGCGTGGGCGCGTCGTTCATGCGGATGACGCACTCGCTCTCGTCGATCCTGTGCCCCTGCCGGCTGCCCAGGAGGTGCCCGGAGCTGGTGACCAGCGCGCAGCTCTTGCAGTGCATCTTCAGCGGCTGCAAAGACACACGCGCTGCACGTCAGCTGCAGACAACCTCCCTTTCTCTGCACTGCTCTGCTTTACATGGTCATGCCGTATTTCACAGCAAAAACCTCCGAGCAATGTGCAGAAATCTCTCCCAGCAGTCTGCCCAAATAGCTGGGGACCCATTACCTGTACATGTTTGGGGGGAATATGGTGTAGATGTACAGCCTTTGGAGTTCCTCTGTGGAGCTAAGCCCATTGTGTAAATCCTCCTTTCCACTGCTGCTTCAGAAATAGAAAATCACAACAGCCTCTCTACTCTTCCCAACTGCTTAGGACTGTACTTCTTCCACTTGCTATAACAGCTATAATTACAGTACTTTTTATTCTTCCACTTCCTTTTTTTTTCAGGAAATAATAAATCCTAAGTCTTCCTAAGTTCATGTGTTCAGCTGTTCAACCCTGGGGTCGGGACATTTTGCTACAGGAAGAGATTGATGCCCTGGCCCAATGCTTCCTTGCTATTTGCAAGTTGTGCCACAACCACTGTGATGCTCTCGTACCTCCTTTATGGTTCAACAGTCAGAGCTGGTCAGTAATGTCTGTGTGTATTTTACATGACAGTGAGTTAGTGCACTGAACTTTTGCTGCCTTGTCAGGTCATGTTTGAAAGTTACTCAGTAAAATGGAATGGGAGGTGCCTGTTCAGTGAGTGCTGACCTAATGGAAGCAGAAGAGTAAAACAAGCTTTCATGAAAATGAAAATGCATGCTAAATCATGTTACTGAAGTATGCCACCACCACAGGTATCAATTATGGAGGAGTGTGTCACTATCTACTGCTCAGCATGAGAACTAAAAGGAGCGAGGGTTAAAAGTATTCCCAAAGTGCTACTTTCTAACAAGAATACCATAAACTATGAGGTAAATAAAGACTGTTTGAGGGTATGCCTTGGTAGCCCTCCAGGAAATAGTATCTTGCACTTGGTGTACATCTCAGTGTCTTTGAAAAACAACAAACAACGACAACAAAGCAAACAAACAACAATGCCCCCCCACTCCTGAAAAAACCCCAACAAAAAAACCCATCAGATGAACCCCTGGCACAGAGACTGAACTGCAGTTGCTAAATCATTCCGATCTACACACACACAGGAATCCAGAGTCATCCAATTACCTACATCAGTCTGCAGTGAGGCACAGCTTTAAACTCTAAAGCTGAAAAGGAGGCAAGATGTAGGTCTGACACAATCTCAGGCCCCTGTTTGAAAATGCTTTGGCCCACAGTACTTGATGGGAGTGTTTTACTGTAGCAACTTGGTTTTAATTTTGAAGGTATTAAGTGGTTACAGTTACAGTCTGAGATTCTTTTTTTTTCTGTGAGACTAGCTCTTGAATGCTTAATGCCTTTTAATTAAGGAAAAAATAAGTATACAATCTGCACAGTGATTCAACCAATAAGCCTTGTGTCTCCATCTCCCCCAATAAACGAAGTCCATTTCACATCTGTGGACTATAATCCAGGGCTAATGGTATGGGTGGAAATGTTCATGCCTTTGAGAGCCAAGGTTCCTAATGTAGTATTTACATGCATTTTCCTTTAAGCTTTCGTCTGCCACTGTGATGAATTACCTAGTGAAAGGCTCTAAGGTGAACTAGCTGCTCCACCACCATGCTTGGGAAAGCAAGACAAGGTGTTAATGAGGTTAAAGGAAATATAGTCAGCACCAGTGTTAACTCACACAGGTTTGAATATCCACATAGCAAGGCATTTTCACCTAAACAATCTCTGCTGGTTTCTAGCCTACTGAGCTACAGCTTCCTTGTTTCTTTTAAAAAAGCCTGCCACAGAATCCATCAATTGTTAGGAAACAAGGAAGCAGAGCTGTGGAAACTTGGGGACGAGTCTGAGGCTACCTAATGAACATTAACACCCCCCAAGAACATCTGTCCCAGATCTTGTTTGAAACATTTTCCTTCTGGGAAAAAGTCTTTAGACTGAAACAGTCAGGTATTGCCCAGCCACTTCCTGAATGATGCATGCGGGCTGAGCCCTTGTAGCTGCTCTAGGCAAGTAATTTTCAGTTGCCTCACTCAGATTCCTTCAGCTGAAGTCTACAAAACTCACACCTAAAAATTATCAGAGGAATTCACAGGGAACAGCCGCAACATTCTCACACCAGCTGTTTATAATGCTTTGACAACAGTGAGAGCAAGGGGGGGAAAATGCCATTGGCTGTAATATCATCTCACTGGGAGGCAGCAGTGGCACCAGAAATGTCATCTACTTAAGCAATAATAATGGAAGCACAAGGCAGTTCTTTGGGATTGATGACCAGCTGGAAAAAGTTGATGGCCTGAGAATAACCAGGGGCCATTAAGCCAGAAGAACATTAACTCCACAGAAAACGCTGTTACAGTAATTATTAGAGTGATATTTTGGGAAAAAAAAGCCAAGTGAAAAGAAAGCAAACCCCATGAAATATGAGTTATATTTCAGGAGCCTTGCTTCAAAAGGGATAGGGTGAGAGGTAGGCGAGTTTTATAGCACCTTGTTAATTACTTTGAAGTGTAACACATCATGCATGTAAAAGCTGCTGACATTGAATTGTACCCATTGTTAATAAGCAGCCACAGTTCATGTGTTACCCGAACTCCACCTCTGTGACAGGGCAGAGCACATGGCTACTGCTACAACACAGGTCAGGCACTTGGACAGCACATGAGCCAAGTACTGTCCAAAAAAATTGCCCAAATCACCTCTCAGTTCCAGTCATCTCAAGACACACATGGAGAGAGGGAGAACAGAGGTTACAGTACAACAAGCTCACAGTGTAGAGCCCCAGAAGATGGCAAACCAGCTGGTGTTTTTCAAGGATAGATGGGCTATCCCAAGGGAATGAAGGCAGCAGGGGAACTCTGTCATGGGATAAACCCCATAACAGCACCTTTGTGCCCACGAGGAAGTGCAGCTTCACACAGCTGCAAGTATTCCCAGAGGCCAAACTGACTCCTGGCAACTCCCACTTCCAGAGATTAGCCCCAAAGTGCTGCTGCTCTATCACAAATGCCTGATTTGGTTAATGAAACAAAAAACAATGCCATGGCTGTTTCTGTATTTTTCAATTTGAGGTCATTTGCTCTGTTATTGACTTTAAAATCTACGTTGTCCAATGATCGAAAAATGTTATTTTCGGACACTTTAATGCTCAAGTGCTCAAGAAGAATAAATTGAAAAATGTTGTTCCTGATACAAAATAAGTTATTCTCAGATACAATTATTTTCTTTGTGATAAAATCAAATAATTTTTTTGCATATAGAAGTCTCTGGATTTTTAAAGCCAAGATTTAGACAAGAAGACAGCTCTCTCCAGTAAAATCATGAACGGTGTAAAACACACTTTTTCTTATACTGAGTACTTAATGACCTACTTTCAAGACCCCTGGGTTCAGATCACTCCATTATCAGTAGCGTAAAAATTTCTGTTCTATAAATAAAAGCCACAGTATTTTATCTTGGCAATGATGACCTGGCCACAACAACAACAAAAAACCAAACAAGCAAACCAAACAAGCAAACCCACCTCCCCAAAAAACCCAAACCAAAACAAGAAGAAATGGCCTGCAGTGAGAACAGCTCACTCCTGAGTTCAGCAGAAAAGACCACCTGTCAGTTCATGAACACCAGCATTCCTCATGGATACATCTGGAAATATCACAGATGACTTCCAAGTGTATTGGGAGACATGAGATACCATGAAAGGTTAAAGAATATCCCAAATTTGTTTTGGAGGGATGACATGTAACTAAGCACTTGAGACAAAGTGCAAAATAGTTTTCTTGCACTGCAACACCTCTGTTGTTGGCCAGTGTTTGTCTCGTGCCAGAGCTGGGTCTGGAGGCTACAGAGCTGCTCCCCTCTGCAGTAACCAGCCACTGAACTGCATTACTGAACCAACAGCCTCTCTGCAACAGCTCCCAAGCTGACTGACAAGTAAAAGCAGTGCTACAAATAAGAAGACTGATGTACAGGAAAGCAAATCTGTTCCCATGTTCAACTGAATTAATTTGGTTGAATTCAGTATGTTAATGGTTGAAAAAGCACACATAAACCCTGTAAGAGCCAGTCTTACCGATTCAGGAGAAAGTGACCTTATTCCAGAGCAGCCTTGCTTTCTCTTTTTGTTACAAAGCAGCTGATTTCTTTGGGAGGAGTTTCATGTCTCCCCCACCTGGTGCCCATTGTGCCAAGCACAACAGCTTGTGACACTCACTGTATGTTACCTCAATATTTGCTTTTAATGTTCCTTGCCTTGTGCACAGAACTTAATCAACATTTCCTACATGATGCTAATGAACCCCGAGTTCACACCGCGTTCAATGCCATTTATTACTTATGGCTTGCTCTTGATTGCTGCATCATCAGCCACCAGCAAAACCACTAAATATTTAAAGTTTTGCCAGTGATACAATATTTTGTCCTGCAGCTTCAATTTTTTTTAGTTTCTTGTAGCTTTGAGCAGCTCTTAGATTTCTCACGAGCTGCTGGCTTGGAACCACTGCTCTACTAGGCTGGCTGCTCCTTCCCAGTGCTCCTCTCCCAGAGGCTTGGAGGACAGTCCCGTGTCACAACTATATCCTAAGCAGTGCAGGAGCTCCAGCCATGCCCAGCCCACTGCTGGCACATCACAAACAGCTGAGTGCTCCAGCTCTGGTGAGCCCCTGTCATTCTGCACTGCCCCAGGTGTACAGCTGCTCATGCCATTATGTCCATCCCTACGTGTATTGTTTCTATCGCTGTGCCTCCTTCTTTAGTATTGTCCCTAAAAGACTGAAAACTGTAAGGCCAAATCTGCTTTTCTTTGAGAGATTCCCAACAACCTCCTTGAAGTAGAATAGAAACCCTGAGGCTTCACATTTGCCAAGTAACTTGTGTAAGCCAATGCAGCAAGCTGTGGGGCTCAAGCTGTCTCATTACTGAAGCACAGCTGTGCACTTCAGAGTTCCACAATGCAACGACTCTGGGAGACAT